TCCCCTTACTTTGAATACATCTTATTTCTGTGGTGAAATGAGAGCTCTAACAGGACAATAGAAATCCATTTGTTGAGGTCAATACATTTAAATATTCTTGCTGAGATTTCCACATGTTATATCTATAGGAAATGTGAATCAGAGTCTTCAGAATAGCAGCCAGGTCAATGCGATCCCTGCTCTGCATTTCATTACTAATACAGCAGTTAGTCTAGATAAATCCTGATGGCATTCACTGGCATGCTGGACAACCCTTCGTCTGAGATTGGCAATCCGAGAAGCAAACAGTATAAAAGCCTTTTTATAGAGGCCGTATTACACAGGTACAGTATACACGGCTCACTGGCCCTGCCCTGGAACGTCACACAAACCTGCTTTGAGACAAACTGAAAGAGCACTGCTCTAAACCCCTCTTTGTTGGTAGCACCACGCCATAAACACACATCACTCAGAGGTGAGTCCAAAAATATTCCCCACACCAGGTGAAGTGTTGGGATTAGAGGAGAGTAAAAATAAACTATTTTAATACTAATACCACCTCTGACTGGATGAAGACAGAAAGAAGTAAAGAGGTGGACTGAAAGGAGGGAGAAGAGTCTCAGTTTTCAGAAGAGAGCGTCCGCATGAGGGAACAAACATCGAGTCTAGAGATCCCCTCCTCCTCCTCCCTCCATCTCTCTGGCCAAACTTCTGAATCTCACCCCCTCCCATCTCCTTATTCTACCCCCTCTGTTGAAAAACTGGGACAGAGGGAAAGTGTAACAAAGCTATTTAAGTTTTGTAGACAACCTACCTTTCCACAGGCGGCCCCTCGCAGCCCTGGCAGACACGGTCACCAGGCCAAATGTGAATGTTCCACACATAGCTGGATTATTTTTAATGTTTATGAACTGTTTCGTCTACAAAATGTCAGATAATAGTGCCATGTGCCCAAGGTGACTTAAATTACCCCAAGATATTGAACTTAAGATTCTCAAATTTGAGTGGCTGGCTTTGTAAATGACCTTAAAAACGTTTGTAGATTGAATAACCAATTATTAAACTATTTGTTATTGCTGAAATTATGCTCTCATGAGAGGCCTACAGGCTTGTTTGATTGGTGCACTGACCCTGTCAATGATTATACTGCACTGAAAGAGAGCAGAGGCCTCCCATCACTTCCATACACAAACACCCCCACACACACACACACACACTTCTTGATTAACAAGCTTGTACCGGTTTTTCTTTTCATGAGCAATAAAACAGTAGAGTGGGAGTTAACTGTGGCTTTCAAATGTTACATCCTGTAACTAACAATACTTTTCCATTATCGATTAACTTAATGAGTTAATGAAATAAAAATTTAAATAAATAAGGAAAAAAGTCATTCAATTATCTCAGAGGCACTTTCTAAACTGAACTTGTTTTGGTTGATTTACAGTCAAATGTTTTCAATTTACGAGGAAACGGTAGATTTTAGGATGGAGCATGTTTGCCATTTTATGATTCCAATACAGATGCAGACTAATAGTTGCAGCTTTAATAATTTGCATGCAACAATCCTGCACAAGAACATTTACACATCAAATAGCAAATAAATATTTCGCAGTCAAATGGTGAATGAACCATATGCCATCACCAAACATTTGTGTCACCTTTATTGCCACGGTAAGTCAACTTCCCTGTTTTCCAACGCCCACCTCCCCCTCCTAAGAGTCTCTTACCCCTGTGTGTCCCCTGCATATCTGCCCTGGTGTCTCCTCCTTATCATCCGGCCTCAGCTCCGTCTGTGAGCTGTGTTCCTGCTCCTGGGTGTTTGGCTCCGTTTCTGACCAGCCCTCCTGAGGAAAACTTCTCTAACCCCCCCCGACTCTTTCTCAAGCCAAATGCCGCCAGTGTGAATGGGACCACAGTCCCCTCTCCTTCCTCTCTCTATTTCCCCCCCCTCTCCTCCTCCTCTCAGCACAGCCTCTCTGACAGATACACCTCCTCTTTCCCTGCTCCACTCCTCCTCTTCCATTTCCTTTGACCAAAGAAACTACACACTGCAAAGTTCTCCGCTGCCTTTGTCAGGCAGTAAAAAGAAAAGAAGGGAGAAAGAGACGGGGAAGCCAGGGCTGTCAGTTAGAGACCTTTTTACTTTCTCTCCCTATTTCAAGAAGAAAGGAATGAAAAGTAAAAAGAAAGCAGCACCGCATGACGATATCATCTCACTTTAAAAAGTCTGCCACAGATTCGATTCTGGATTACAGCCTTTTCATCCGTCAAACTTAAATCTTCACCTAAGTGCATTAAAGACAAAAACAACAGAAGATTCAAGTTAAAGGAGAGAGAGTATAATGCTGGGGTGTAGGAGAAGGAGGTGAAACTTCATCAAACACTAGTCCTGCTTCTCATCTGTCAATCTGATCTAAAACAAAGACGGGCAGAAACAAAGCTCATTGAGTTACTGAGCAAATTCTTAATCAAATAAGCCGTCAATCCGAATGAAATGAGTTAAACCTAAGATCGGCAGCTCCTTAAAAGCAAAGACAGGAGAGAACCGTAAGTCCTCAAGAGGCAGAGCTGGATGTTTGACACATTAAGATACAGTAAAGTGTTCAAGGACTTTAAAACGTCAGACAATGTTAGATTCAACCAGAACATAATGGTTACAAATAGTGTACACCAATCTCAACTCTAAACTGTCCCATAAAGTAAAAGAAAGAAAGAAAACTGATACAATACTCAAGGATGTGATGAACTTTCAGTTCTTTATCTGAAGGTTTTAGACCTGGTTGATTTGTTGACCCTCGTGGTTGGTGGTTCACAGCAGTTGCATTTTAATAACTCACGTCCAAGGGTTCAGTTCCAAATTAAGTATCACTCAACTACGAGGAAAAAGGCCTTCAGCTGTCAGAAGAACAAAAGAAGAACTGTGTTCTTGTTTTTGTTTTAAAGTGAGAATAGGAATCATTCAAGAGAACAAATGAACGTTAAATGGATAGAAAACAAAGCACCCAGTTCAACAAAAACATAATATGATAAATTATGTTTGATGACCAAGTCTTTGCTTGGTCTGGTTCCAGCTTATGGTGAAAACAAACTCTAAACATGTTCCTGCTCCTTAAAAGAGGATGTTTGTTGCATGAGAAATTGTGAATGTCAGTTTTAAATGTGTTTTACTGCTAAAAACAACATGGAATTTCCATGCGTTATTTTGCCTGGTTAAACCTAGAATCTGCAATATCTTTGATAGAATATTTAGGGTTTCTAACATCCTGGGTAACCAGTGGATCAGCTTCCAGAAGTGCACTGTCCTGTAACAGTGGCAGCATTTAGCTTCTTGCACTGACCTGTAATCCACCATCTGGCCAAATGATTTAAAAAAAAAAGAGAAACAACAGGTGGAGTGCAGTCGGAGCTCAGCTGCTCAGCTCCAGATGAAGAGAGGGGTAAAGTAGGGTACGAGAAGTAGGCTATGTCCTGACATAGCCTCACACACACACATACACAAACACAGATCTGTCCCTTTCTCTTTACTACTCCCTCGCTCTCCCTGCTGCTATAACTAGGTCACACTGGGCACAAAGTTTGTCCTTCAAGCAATAAGACGTAGGAGAAGGAGTTCAAGGTCATTCTTGGTCACGCTGGTCTTAATGGGAGGTCTGGAGAACACTGAAAGTGCCGCAAGTGAAGTCCCGTTTGGCTGCAGCCAAAGCCACAGGAACCACTCCGAGTGAAGAGTCCAAAAATGGCCAAACAAACACCATCAATCAGCCGGCCCGAGGCCACCAGTGCTGGGATAAAGGAGCAGGCTGCAAATCACCTCTGTGAATGCCACCATTAACACTGCCACTTTATAGGCTAGAGGGGGGCCTAACATGACTCAGCCCCTTTAGAGTGGGTTGATTTAGAGGCTGAAGCAGAACAGTGAAATTACAGTGTGTTCCATTTGCTTTCTGTATGATAGCCCAAAGAAAAGGAAAAAGGAAATGAATGTAAAACTCCAGATACACAACATAATTCCAGTGTGGCTTTGCAGTAAGTTAAATGCATCTGTCTTGTAGTTTATCCCCATAAGTCATATAAAGTTTATTATCCTACAGAGGTTCCCACAAAAGGTTTAGAGTTCCGTCTGTGGGCCAATTTCTGGTAAACATTGAAAGCTGCTCCTTAAAAGGCCAAGATTCTAGTTGATCTGTATCAATAGTGGAAGCCCAGCAGGGGGTCATCCATCAAAAGGCCGAGATGCCATCCCTCTCCGGCCCGTCAGCCTGCTTCCTTCTATATTTTCATAACAACGCCTCACGTCTGGGACACGAGACTGACAGAAAGCTAGGCCATCCATCAATATCCGTACCGCCTTTGCATGGGGACATCACTCCCTCTGGACAGTGGAGCTAAAACTGGCCTCAACAAGCCACTCTTTTAGACTTCTTGCATCCAAAATAAACCACCAAGGCACAAAGCAGTCCAGGAACACCTCCTAAATAAAACCAGTGCCAATCTTTAGCACTTGGCAGGGGGTGGCTCATCATTTTCAGACACAAAATGAAAACAAGGGAGGGAGAGAGTTTTGTAGATCGAAATATGTACTCTTAGTAAGTTGTGTCATAAATCCACAGAAATGGGATGACTGTGTTGAGTTGGCAGGGACCCACCTTAGCCACACACTGATTTACTGTATAATGTGCCAAAGAGATTAGGGTTACACCTCCAGCTCTGGAATTACAGAAAAACCCTATCCATGATTAAGATCTGCTGCTAACTCTCATGCAGCAGGAACGTGTTAACATCCACACATGATGGGATGCACACGGTTACGTGTGTGGCAAGCTGCAGACTATTTTTAACGTCAATAAAGTCTCTACCAGAAATGCTTGGTTTGGGAAATCAGAGAATGAACATGAATTACAGCAGCAGCTTTGTGAGTGAGAAGTTTCCTGCAGTAGTCCGATAAAGTTTGCATAAATCAAATTTAAAAACAGCCAAAAAAGTTCAAGTTTAAAACATTTCATTAAAAAGGCACCACTTACCTCACAATGACACCCTGTCTTTAGATTCTGGAGGCCTTAGAAAAGCATGGCGGACAGGTCGGTCGAGCATCCCAAGAACTCACAACAGTGAGCAGATCCTCATTCCGTCTTTGTCGCTTTGTTCTCCAAAACTGAGGGGAGAAAAAGAAAAAAGAACAATGCATTTGTTGATTCAGCAAAAGAGAAGCACTGAGACTTCTACCTACAGTGGAGAGTTGGAAAACCTGAAATGTGACAAGTGTGTTTAGAAGTCAGCGGAAAAGAGGAAAATCTGAGTCATGATGGCGAAAGTCTTCACATGCAGGAAGGTTGAGACTGAGGGGATTTTCCATGTCAACAAGAGTGAAGACCGAGCCTAAAGCTGGCACCCAGTTCACTAACAAGAGGGCTTTCCCCTGAGTAAAGTAAAAACGTTGCTGTTTTCACAACAAGTTTTTGTCATTTTCTGTGGAAAAACACAGTTTCTAAGTTTAAAACACTTACAGTATCAACAAATTTAATTGATGATCATGTGGTGCCTTTCCTTTAAAAAAGACATAAGAAGCACCCTGTCCACATGTGGAAAGAAGCACAGGGTCCATCTGCATTTCATTAAACTGTTGCATTAGCGGTAAAGTCACATTTAAGTACCATAGGTGTGAGCCAGACAGCTATTGCTTCATAATGGCTATTCACATACTTTAGATTACCTTTGGCACTATCATGTTTTCAGCAAGTCATATCGTTTCAGGGAGAACAATCATCTCACACAAGAATAAATAATAGCAGCATATGGTTCTGGAAAATGATGTAGATAAGATCTACTGCACTGCAGATAAAGTCACTGCCCTTAACCTGCCAACTTCAATTATGTTAGTCTCCAATTACTAAGCACATCTTCCTCCTTCGTGTCGAAAGGAGCCAGTTGAGGTGGTTCGGGCACCTAGTAAGGATGCCACCTGGGCGCCTCCCTAGGGAGGTGTTCCAGGCACGTCCAGCTGGGAAGAGACCAAGGGGTAGACCTAGGACCAGGTGGAGGGATTATATCTCTTCGCTGGCCTGGGAGCGCCTTGGGATCCCCCAGTCAGAGCTGGTTGATGTGACCAGGGAAAGGAACGTTTGGGGCTCTCTGCTGGAACTGCTACCTCCGCGACCCGACCACGGATAGGCGGGAGAAGATGGATGGATGGATTTTACAACTTGTAATATGTCTTTCTGTAGGTTTGAGTATCATTGAGTTTACGAAATATGTGCATAAGAAACATTGGAATAATTGCCAATGCTTCAAGAGGTCATATTTCCAAGTAACTCCAATAAATTATTCCCACAGTATTTAAAGACTAAGTGACATATACAATGTCACTAGAGTTATGCAAGGAACTACATTTATGTTACATTATAAATCACATACTCAATATAATCATATCACAACTTGCAATAAATGTCAATAAAAGATCATAAGTTCAACAAACCTTACCAGACCAGTATCTTCAACTGGTTATTCTGTAATCAAACTGGATGAGAGATACGAGGGGCGACAGCATGAGAGAGAAAATACTTCACATACAGTGTTGTATATTTCCTGATATATGGTCCAGCTTGTTACATCTGCCTCTACCTCACTGTTTTCCCATAAACAGTTAATAGATTTTTAGGGAACAGTTGGACATTAAATGGTAATAAAACTGTGTTCAGCCAATAAATACTCTGACACATAAATCCCAGTAAAACCGTTTTGTGACATTTTTACACCTTTTTTTTTAAAACAAATGAAATATAACATGTAAATTATTTAAGCTTTAGAGGTCCTGGTAGGTTTAATATTTTACCTTTGAACCGAGCATGCATAACTGAGCTTAGCTACCAGCAGCTTGTGGTAGATTAAGGCAAAAAGATTAGAACATTACCTTAATAACAAGTTACTTAATATTGGTGTTGAGCTAGGATTAAAAAAAAAGGACAAAGTTTTATTATTAACAGTGCCACTTTCAAACAAGGTATCGCATGTTGTGTATACAAAATAAAAATACAACTTTAACAGGGGCATGCACTTCACATGTTTTTGGTAGCTAAAGTAAATAGAATAAAGATGTTTTAAAGAAAATAGAATAAAAACAACATTATGTAAATCTATCATTTTACAGGAGGAAATGCCACCATACAGTGCTGCTTGGTTCTCAAACATAGGGGAGTAGCAGCTGCCTTGTTATTGAACTTCCTGTTTGATCAGCAGGATCTGGGATGTTTACTCAAATTAACGGCACTAACTGCCTGTACTGTTACAGGCTTTACTTAAAGCTTCAGCTCTTCCCTTGGCCTATATGTTTTAATATTATGTTACAGACAGATAGAAGTGCTTAGGAGCTTCCCACGTGTGATGTTCCTCATTACAAATAGCTTGGAGCTTCTTATAGTAAATATTGCAGAGGTAAAGTGACGGTATATACTGTGAACTCTGTAGAGTTTTATTAATAGCAGTTTGTCTTAGGCCCCGTCCACACGGAGACGAAAACGAAAACGAACCGAAGTCGATATCAAAAAAGTCTTCCGTCCACACGGAATCGGCTCAAGAAACGTGTCCGTCCACACGAGACCGCTCGACCCGCTGTAGTACATATGCCGGGCCTGTAAGTGGCGCTGTAGTTCCGCCACAAAATACACCAAAAGCAGCGAATAAGACCCCCCGAGCATGGTTGCCATGGTTGCCTGGTTTGCCCTTCTGGTTATTCTCCGCGGTGGATTTAGCAACATGTAGTTCATGTAGTTCTCCATGTCCACTTGTTGCTGATGGTTGTGGTAGAGGAGCTGTAGATTTTGCACTAACATCTGTATCCTGGTCAGTAGCGTCTGGAGCATGAACGCAACCCTGTGATCCGCCATTGTTGTTGTTGTTGGCAAAACGCATCAGCAATGACGCGGGTGCCGCGAGGGTGAGCAGGAGAGGTGGGGTTATGATCGTTTAGGGCGTGCACACAGTGCTGCAAGCGTTACGTTACCAGACCTTCCTACTTTGGGATGCGTTATCGTTTGAGGGCTCCGTTTCCGCGGTTCCTTTCCACACGATAAAGAACTATAGCGGATAACACCCGTTTCGTCTCCGTGTGGACGGGGCCTAAACACAGATCATTATCAGATGTTTACTCAAGAGGGCCGCTCCCTTCACCTGCTATTCCACACTGAACAGGAAGTCCTAACAGTAGAGGGAGACATACAGAGAGAGGTATGTGCACTGAATGAGAAAAGAGAGGATTACCATTTAATTACATTATTCATCTGCTGAATGGACACCTTCAAAAGACAGCCTTCAATATCACTAAACCTCACTATGACCTATAAACTAACCCATAAATTAATCACCAATCGATGAAATGGTGGAATAAAGATAAGTTATTTGTTCTTCTCCATCAGAGGGTAAGGACATTTTATCTGGGAATGATTTGTATGAGCTAACCACTCTCATAAAGTTAATTTGAAGCAGAAGAGAAGTGCTTTCATGACGGTTCAAAGCAAATAATGTCCATGTAGACACCTGAATTGAATAGAGGCCCCCCTGGTTGAGGTTTTGATTGATTAAGCAGGTTACCAAGTGCCATTTTAAGGGTTTAATGTCTAAATGAAGTGTGCCTTTCCAATGAGAATTGGAATACTAGACGGCATCACAAATAATAGGAGCTCACAAAGACAAATATTTCTAGTTACAGATGACAAATGTATCCGATTTCATATCAGGTTGGTGGTCAAAACTGTGACTTCTGGAAATGCCAATTGGGACTTTTTTGTATCGTTAAGATTTTTGGCAACTTGGGGCCACTATAAAATAGCTCACAAAACACACAACTATTATAACTACTTCATAAAGTCGGCATACATGTTAGGAAACAAATCGCACATCCAGGAGAAATGGGGCTACAATAGCATTATTTTGGATTCCCGTTTGTGATGAATTTATAAAAGAAAGTCCAATATTTACTCTCCATTAAGCTCGGTTTTGCGAACCTATGCAGACAACTATGATACAGAGACACCAGGCATTCATTCACACAACTTAATGTACTGCTGGACACTTTGAATAATCTCATAAACATTCAATATTGGTTTGTTAAGATGTACGTCTGAGCATAATGGCATACAGTTACTTATAGCTGCACTGTGCAGTAGTCAGGAGGTTACATTAAATGGGATGGAGGCACGGGAAATACATTTAGATTCCTATGGGGAAAGGCAGTGTAATAGAAAGGAATAAATGAAGATAAATGATGTTCAGTGTTTGCCAGGCTATCACACGCGCACACACGCACACAGACACTGAACTATTAAGGAGTAGGGTGGCGTCCCACTTCTCCCTTATCCAAACACCGCCACACCACAGCACTTAGGTTTATTATCATAATGTTCAGCCGCATGCCAAAGGTTCCAGACAAGTTAACAAAACCCGTAAGAGATGCAGGAAGCAACACACCCTGAACAAAGGCCGCTCAGGAAATAGGGGAATAGTGTAGCAAAAAGGGAGATCATACAAACAGATGTGTTGAGAATACTGTACTCCTGATATCAGAGAAAAGCACATCAGCATTTTAGGAACAACTGAACATGTGTCATGCATTTTGATTTCATAACTGCTTGCTTGTACGTGGTTGTGGTAAAGAACATAATGACAACATAAATGTAGGGGAGAAAACAACTAGAGAAGACCTGAAGTTTATACAGCTGTTTATTTTAAAGTGGACCTATCATGCTATATTTGAATAATATAGTGTAGGACCATACCTATATAAGGCATATTTATACTTTTTTTTTTTTTAAATACCAAACAGATCATGCATTTTAGCCATGCCTCAATTTGCTCAATTTGACAATTTATAGCTCTGTTTGTGCAGGGGCAGATTCAGTGAGAACAGCACCATCTACTGGCCTGGCATATGTACTACAGCGTCTCCAGCGCTTTCGAACGGCAATGGCCGTGGCGGTCTCCTCCTGATTGGTGGAGTTGGCCCAATAGCCGTAGCGCCACCGTCCTGACGTCAGGACAGTGTTCAAATCTGGATCAGTTTTTATCAGATCCGTTGCAGCCCCTTTTTTAGAGATTTGGGTATGGAGGAAAATAGAGAGGGTTGTGTTTTCTGACACTTGGTGAGTTCCCTGGAACACCGGG